AATTTTCTATCATTATTCAGATATGATTTCAGCTTTCTGAAATCAACTTTTGATCTTACTAGGCATTTCCTGATGTGTCCGCTCTTCATCCTGCCTGGCCAGGGCAAGTGAATAACTATCACAATCAGGAATATCACCTTTCACTTACTTCGAAATTATCACGATCGGATTTCTACTATATTAAACTATTCTTATTTTATTAGCAAGACAACGTATTCCTTACACTATCAGATCAGAAATTTTTCAATCTATGTTGGCATGTACACCTTTTATGACATTTTGGACTTCGGTTTATGCCGAGAATCGGCTAAACCATGGCTCTGATACCATTAAATGTAACACCCCAACCGTATCCGACCGGATACGAGTCCGAAGTGTCACATTGACTTTTCAAACATTTATTCGTATAAAATAGTGAGTAATTTAAAAACTTTGATAACATTTAAATTATTTCAAAACGTTTACAACAGATATCAGAGTTCATACCATTTATATCTTTAGACTACATGCCAACTACACTCTGTAAACAGTACATACATTTTCTGATCTGACATTTGGTAAGGAGAACTGACCTGTCTTGCTCCGCATTACTCTTTATTCTTCTCGAAACCTACGTGTGAAACAATCACACGCTAAGTCGTTGACTTAGTGAGGCAATAATTAAACATATAACAATAAATTCATGAACGTGCATTCATACCATTGAATCATGACATTTCAATATGCATGTATCTATTGCATGATAACAATATATATAATCATGTCATACACACACGCCATACCTTCTTGTATTACTTTCACTTTTCGTTTGTCTTCCAATTGCATTGCCCATGTATATTATTATCTTTATCAACATCACATATATCTTATACATTACATTCCATGTTATCTCTTATTAGCCCATGTGTACCTGTGAGAACTGTAGATATGTGAGTCTATGAGGTTGTGCACCACTATGCTGTCACCACAGCTCATAAATGTCCCGAAGGACCTATCCAGAGGTCACAAAGACCCCGGTAACTATCCAGAGGTCATAAAGATCCTCGGTAACTGTCCAGAGGTCATAAAGATCCTCGGTAACTATCCAGAGGTCATAAAAATCCTCGGTAACTGTCCAGAGGTCATAAAGATCCTCGGTAAACTGTCCATATGTCTCGAAAGACATAGGTAAACCCTCGACTCTTGGCATGCCAACTATACCTATGCTCTCGTATCATATAACATGGGCATTATATTCATATCACTTCATATTCACATGTACATTTCACTTTTCATATGATTTCGTAATCATCTGTCACGTAGCTTATAACACTTCTCTTGTGTTCATCTGGCATGTAACTCATTGTCATCTCTTATTCTCATATGATTCTCATACACCAAGTATATCACATAGCACATAGTATAACCTATAAACTTATACAGGTATCCATATACATACTTTCATATACTTCGAATAACAATGCCCTATAACTTCTCACAGTTTTACCTAATCACCTATTTCACATTAATTATATTCTAGTTTCATATATTACTTAATTCAATTTCACATAGCTTGTTACCTATATAAATATTTTCTCATAACTTATCATCACATAGTTCCCATAACATTTCCTATAGATTCATAAATCTTTACCATATGACTCATGTATTATATGTTCATTTCAGCTCATATATCCTCTCCATATAACTTATTACATGTTCATAATCACTTCTGTCAATGTCACCTCATATATATATTTTTATTGCCCTATAAATCAATGTTATTTAACTTATCTCACTTTTCATCTAATCTTATAAGTTGGTTATACAATTCCTATATATATATATATATATATATATATCTAACTCATGTAATTTATATCCTTTCTCTTGTTATCATATAAATAATTGCTATTTTACATAATCACTTACACGTAGAACATTTCCATGTGATTCACATTCACATGTGCATATAATCACGTAGTTACTTTCATGTAATACATGTCACTTTTCATATGAATTCATATTCATATATCACATAGCTTATACTTGTTCTTATGTCTTCTCATAGACATATATTATTTCTCACGTATTCACATAGATTCATATCATATACCTATTATTTCTCATGTATTCATGTAAACATGCATGTCTTATTTTGTTCACATGTTCATATATACATCATATAATCCTTTCCTAAAGTTCACACTCTATTTTCCCATATGGCATATCACATAAATCATATAGCACATATAAGCACATATCATTTCATATAATCAAGTATACATACCTTTTATGTCATTCACATCATTATAATCAATAATCCATACACAACAAATATTGAAAATAGACTTATCACAAGTCCAATTCCTTATAATCCTATAAACTAAAATGCACTCACCTGGCCTCACTAGTCAATATCGATCTGTTATCTTTCCTTGATCGATCTTACTTGCCAAACGTTCCGGAATTGCTTTATGCGTAGAATCTACATACATGTACATTTTGAGGCAATCATTAGATACCTACACCTTGTAATTGGATACTAGCAACTTAAACGAACTTATTAAACCAATATTCGCATTTTCCTTTAGGGGGAATCGGTTCCCTACTATGGGGGTATCGATTCCCTCAAGACATTCTGGAATTCTGTCGTTTGAAGGGGTATCAGTTCCCCTTGAATGGGTACCGATTCCCCTTGCCCAGAACTCATATTTTCAACCCGAAATTACTTCATTTCCACTCAAACACTTCATATATCATCCCCTTTTCATTCTTAATTCTAGTACACATACTTAAACCAATCTATATTCATTTATTTCATCTTAAACCTCAAAATCCTATCTTCCATATGTAATTCAAGAATCATATCAAATTTTCTATATGTTCAAAATCAAATTCTATCACTCCAAATCTCTTAATTTAACCATTGACAAGTCAAATTTAACTTCAAATTCTACTTATCAATTCTTTTCCAAAGTTTCATATAAAAACTCCAACTCTTTAATCTCTCTTAACCCCTCCATTCTTTGATTTTTACTGTAACCCAAGCTTTCCTTATGTTTATCCATCAACTAAAGATCAAAACCAAGCTTAAAATTCAAATAATAATCAATTAATAAAACTCTCACCTTTGCCTTGCTCTCCCACGCATGAAGAAGAAGAAAGGAGAAGAGAACTCTGGATGTTTCTCCCATTTCCCACGTGTATATAATTCCTTAAATGATCAAATGACCATTTTACCCTTTATTTCCTTTAACAATTACAAAATAACCTTCATCATATGTATCCAATAATCATAGAACTATTTCATTCTTCTATTTTAGTCATCAAATTATGAAACTTTACAATTTGATCACTAACCCGGTATTGAGGATGTTACACGTCCCGACCCGAATATCACACTTAAAAAACCCGATCCGACCCGACCAAAATAAAGTTTCACCTAACCCGACCCGAATATATGAATTAGAAACCCGACCCGAAATAATAAAAAAATATATTTTTTTCAATATATGAATAAGTGACCAAAGGATTGACAAGGGTAGTATGGTCAAATTTCAATTCCCTCCAACAAGGGAATTGAATTCCATCCATTTTTGGATGGAATTCACTTTCTCTCATTTGATGGAATTGAATTCCATCAGGGATTCCAATTCTCTTGAAAAACTTGAACCAAACATGGGAAAGTGGTGGAATTGGATTATAATTCCCACCAATTCCAAGGGATTCCATCCAACCAAACGCCACCTAAGGGCATTTTCCTTGCATGATATATATTATGAATTTATTCCAAATTTAAACATTATTTACCAACAAACATCTAATCTGTAATTATGATACTCTAAACTATTTTAAAAAAATTCAACTCAGACACCACAATTTTTAATTATTAAAATTGATCCTTTAAAAATTACACTATTAAATTTCATATAAAAAAGCACACTTAGTTTATAACTTTTATTAGTATAAAGCCTTAGACTTTATCCAACACTCATGTTACCTTTTTCCTAAAGCCAAAAAAATGAGACTTAAGATATGAATATCTCTCCTTTTATCAATTTTGGTGAAAGTATTTGTCAAGTCCTTATATTATAAAGACTATATCAATTTAGTCCTTTCATATAATCATATTAAACAAATCAATTTAAATCCGCTATTATAGAGATTGATCTAAATTCCTCATGCTATTAAATGGAACTATGTACCAGTCAAAAGAATTAAATAGGACAAGTATTATTATTTTTTACATATTTTAGACTTACATATTTTTTAACACTTGGTGTAATCTCTATAATACAAGTACATGGTAAATGTTTTGAACATAAGTTTCTTATATTGTAATATGGCAAAAATTAAGTACATAATTATATTAATTAAATTTTAATTTGATTGTTACAATGGATAAGGATGTAAATGAGACAAAACAGATAGTAAGTTATTCGAAATTGACTTAGCCAAAGTTCGGTCAACTCTTGAATCGAATAGACTCAATTTGAATTCTTAACAAGTCGAAGCGAGCTACTTGATACCCGACTCGAAAAACTAGCTAGCAACTCGAAAAAAATAATATATTAAATTTTTAGATTTTAAAATTAAATTATCGTTAATATTAACATTTATATGTTTTTATAAGGCCTTTATGTTCATAAAATTTGAGTTCGAGTTTGAACTTCATTCGAGCTAAGTTTAAGAATATTTCGAGTCTAATTTTTTTCAAGCTCGAGTCGAGCTTCAATTTTTGGTTCCTAGTCGAACTTGAAAATTTTAAGCTCGAGAGCTTTCTAGTCGAGTTAAGCTTCAATTTTTTGTTTCCAATTCAAGTCGAGCCTAATAATTTTAAACTCGTAAGTTTTCAAGTCGAGTCGAATTCAATTTTACATTTTTTGAGTCGAGTTCGATATTACTCAAGCTCGACTCGGCTCGTTTACAACCTAGATAGAATGCTGAATATTTTATACAAATATTTATATAAAACTATTTATTAATTTATTATTCATGTATGTTAATACTCCATTATATAACAGTGAATGCAAATACTAGATAATTGTATTGTAGGAGGTGAGTACAAAAGAACGAAAGCTCTACTTTCAGGCAACCTAAAGCCCCAAAAAGCTCTCCTTTTCAACCAGCTATAATCTCTCTTCTCCAGCTACTCTCCTTGAACCTTAAAGGGTAAAGAGCATTTGTTTTAGAAGCACAAGTGAATATTATATAAAGCAAACGCGTGAACCTGCAGAAAGAAGACGACTCTGCTTCAACATAACTTCAATAGGTGTTTTGTGGATGCAAGTCGTAATGGAGAATACTGTGTACATTCATGGAATGGATATATATATATATACTCAGTCCTGATGTTTACATGTGTTTTGCTTGATTCTGCTGCTTATAAGCTTGGCGGGTTTTGTTAATGGGAGATGAATATCACTGGCAAACGGCGCCACCCACGGTGGCTCCGTTGAATTTAGAGAGGGAAGAGCACTGGAGACGTTTTGACAACTCGGTGAATGCGGTTTCGTTCGGGTTTGTAGCCACCGCGATTCTCATATCAATGTTCCTCGTTATGGCCATCTTCGAGAGGTTTCTCAGGCCAGCTTCATTCTCCTCCGATGCTGCAACCCCTAATGATCTTGAATCTCAAGCTATGTTCAATGTCAAGCTTAATTACCCTTCTCCCAAAGTAAGCTCTCTCTCTCTCTCCGAAACATTTTTTCTTTTTTAATTTTTGGGTTCAATTCAAGTATAGAAAGTTGCCATAAGATTTTTCTTGGTGTACAGAAGGAAATGGAATGAGTGATCCAGAATTACACATAAATTTTGTTTCTTGCAATTTGGTGTTTTTTTATTTTTCTGTTTAGCAGAGGTTAATGAGTGGACTTGGCAGCATGACTGTGACTATTCTTTTGCTAACCCTTTTTGTGTGTGTGTAATTATAGCTAATTTGGTGCATCAGTATGACTGGTCATTATGCACCCTCTGCCATTGTTGCATGAAAACAAATCCAATTGATTACTATACAGTCCACACTATTGCCATCATAAAGTAGTGCTGTCTTCTTTTTTATCTCATTATCTTTTCAACATTTCTTCATGTCTCTAATTCACATATAATTTCATTGTGGACACAACTTTATTTTTGGTGTTTGTTTGAGGACAGAATCTCTTGTCCTATGACAAAAAGGTTGGTAGCAAGGACCCATCTTCTATATGTATACAGGCCACCCAATTCACAGAGTTCTTCTCCATGGCCTTTTTTTTATACCAAATCTGAGTTATATAGTTTAAACCTTTAATCTAGGCAAAACTCCTTAGATAATGTGGTGAGAAAAAAATGATTCACATGAGGTGTAGAGAAATTATTTTCTAAACTAAGATGGAATGAGTAGTGCATGGGAAAATGACCAAACCACTGGGCATCTTTGACGAAACGCCTGGAAGACACAACGTTTTTTGAGTTGATATTCTGCTAAAGTTGTGTTTAGACTACATACAATCCAAGAAAGATGTCGTGTCTTCCAGCGTTATCCCAAAGACGCCAAATAATCTTGGAGTCTTCCCCGTGCACTGTTCATTTCATCCTAATTGCGAAAATAATTTCTCGATATTTTCCCCCAAATCAGTATCCCATCGAATTTGCCTTTAATCTATGTTTTTATTTTTTCTTTAAATGAAGAACAGCCAACAATAATTGCAATTTTTATAACATAGATACACAGATAAGCATTATCTATATATGCTGTCTACGTGGGTTGATTAGGGGCTAAGGGAGCATCATCCATCACCAGCATGTGATCTTTGTCTCAAATGTCATACTTAATGACCGGCAGATTTGAGGTGTTGCCTAACTTTTGTTTTATTTCTATAATCATTTTGACTTCTTTGAGATTCCATCCAATCAAGTGTGCAAATAGAGGTCAAAAATGAATAAATATCCCCTTTAGATCTTATCAGGAACCAGCAACAAAATCTTGCATTAAGTGCATGCATTGCCAAAAGGGTTAGTGGAGCCATTCCATGCTGAATTGTTGGTTGGATGCAAGTTTTTTTTGCCTAAAACTATTGGCCAACAACATCACCTGATGCGTTAACTAAACTGGATCATTGAATAATATATCATCTCAGCTTTGCTTCCTACTTGGCTAGTCCATCACTTGTGTGACAAATTTTTCAATGTGATCCGGCTGTTAGAGCCCCTTGATTTGTGAGACATGGTTTTATTTATTAGTGGGGAATGGTGGTGGCTCCATTATTTTATATGCTTTGCCTGTATCCCAAGAATGCCCCAAACTCACCTTTTTGTCTCTTCTGAGGTTTTCAAGTGCCTTGGTTAATGAAACAACAATATACTATAAAGACTTTGTGTAGTTTCTTTTATTTTTTTCGACAAGGGAAAAGGACTGTTCATGATCTTTTGTCACTTACCTCTTTAGAATTGTTAGGCTGTTTTTTTTTATGGTGCTTATATGTTTGAGAGTGTGTTTAATTATGCAGATGACAGTTTATGTGAATGAGGTATCGGTTTTAATGCCCGGAGAAGAAGCACCTACTTTCATTGCACATCCTGCTCCAGTGCCGTGTCCCCCAAACCACACCTTGAAGCCTCTGCATCAACTCAACCAAAGCCGAAGCATGGCATGAAAACAAAGCACCAGGGTTTCTTTTATATTTGTACATTTGCATTTGGGTTTAACTGAACAATAATTGCTCAAACTATCTTTTATTTTTTCTTCATTTATATGTTTAATGTTTCCTTTTATTGTAATTTTAAAGTTTAATCGCCAACTCACCCAATGATTATTGAATATGTTATATAAAATTTAGAGTAAAGTATACAAATGGTCCATCGACAATAAGGTGTTATTTTGTTGAGCTTGAGTCTCTTGACTATCAAAAATTACAAAACAATCCCTCAATTATATGATATTTCTTTCGTGAGTTCCCTAGCTATTAAAAGTTACAAAATGATCACTCGACTATTCATTATGTTATAAATTCATCATTTTCCATTAAAAATTTAACGAAAGTCAGAGGTGGAAGTTAATGTGTTGTTTGAGATATGATGTAATCTGATTTTAAAATCTGAAACGACCGTTAAGTTTTTAACAGAAAAGGACAAGTTTGGAACATAATGAATAATCAGTTGATCATTTTGTAATTTTAATAGTCGAGGGACTCAACAAAATAACATTTTATAACTTTTAATAATCGAGAGACTCAATAAAATAGTATCCTATAGTTAGAGGACAATTTATGTACTTCACCCTAAAATTTAATTATCGTTTGGTTGTGGAGGATGATATCATTTTTATTTTCTTAAAAAGTTAAAAAATATATGTTTGATTGTAAAATTAAAAAATGAATTTAAAAAAATAAATATGAAAACATTAACAATAAGTGATCATTATTTTTATTAAAATTATTTTAAAATTTGAATAATATAAAAATATAATGTTTAAATTTTAACTCAATCTTAAATTCTTTTAATAATATTTTTTATTTTAACAATACTTTTTTATTGTGATTTTTGTGTGTGTAATCTTGTCTATAATATATTTCTTTTATATAGTTTTATAGATTTTTTAAATTTAATTGATTTTCAATGTACACGAACCAACTTACCTCAGTGGTTAAATGAATCTTTGTTGTTTCTAGAGGTTATAGATTCGAGCACCAACGACTGCAGTAGGATGATTGAGCATTCATTGTCAAATAGCTGAGAGTATTTAAAATTAAAACTACTTTGTAATCACCTTAGTTTAATAAAAAAATGATTCTCAATGTTCATTAATATTATAACCATATATATATTGTGAATTAAAAGTGAGTAAACGCATTTGGTCGGGTGACCAAGATACTCATCTTTGTTTCCTCATATTCCCTTAGATCATGACGAGCACTTCATTTTTCCACTAGAGTCTCTCATTCCTCTATCCGCTAGGTAGGATCATGTTTAAATTTAAGATTTGTAAAAAAAAAAAATTGTGTTATGAAATTTATTACTTTAAATAAATTTTATTTTTTTACATTCATATAATTCATATTTTAAATTTGTGCTATTTAATTTTTATAATAATAATTTTTTAATTTAATTATTAAATAATTGTTTGTTGATTTTTATTTTAAAAAATATGATATTAAACATGTTTTATTATTTTTATTTTTGAAAATAAATTTTCATTTATATTACTCAAATGTATTTTTCATGTAACATCTATTATATAATTCGAACATACGATCAAATAAAAGATGTCATATTAATCACTGAAGTGACTTTGAATTAATTATTAATAAATTTATAATCAATAACATGAAAAAACTACAAATTAATAAGATATATAAACTTCTATATTCACTAAATAACTAACCATCTTAAAAGAGTCAGAACCATCAGACTTAAAAATGTCACTAATTAATAAAATTCAATTTTTTATCATACAAAATTGAAAATATTAGAAACTAGATTATAAATGTATAAATGTAATATTACTCAAAACATGCATTTTATTGAATTATCATGTGATTAAATACTAATTTATTCCAAACTATGAGTTTCAAAACAAATTAAAATCAAACCGGATGTTAATTATACAGATTTAGGATTTAATATTTAGGGTTTAGGGTTTTCTAAACACGTTTAAAAGATCTCTAAATCAAACATTGAAACAATTTGAACATGTTTTATACATAAAAATCTATCTAGAAACTTACTATCCATCTCTTACTATTATCGTTTGAGGAATGAGTGAGTGAACGATAGAAGGAGATTTGAGAGTTTCGTGCGATGACAAGAGGGTGAACGACAAATGAGTAAGGTACGATGACGAAAAGAATTGACAGTGGTGTCATATACTGCAACAATTGGAGTACCAAATCACCGGCTGCCAGTCCCCACAACCGATTTATTAGCCGAAGCAAGTTCATTATAGCCAAATTAAACGAATAACCTAGGTATGAAGGAGTTACGAAGAAGCAGCACGATCATATTCTATCATAGATTTGATGTAGAATTCTCCGGCCTTGTAAGATGACCTGACCATGGGACCAGATGCCACATATCGAAATCCCTGCATATTCACACTTTTAGTAAGTGTTAACTATTACATCTCCAATTGCTAATTCAATATTCTGGCAAAAAATAAACACCAATGTTATAGCAAGTTATCAACGTCATAAACTAATAAGCATTACATCATCTTGTATGCATGATATATAAAATAATATCCTATGAATGGATCAGCTTATGATTAATTTTAAAAAGAAATATTCATTTAAGAAAAGGAACTTAAGAATCAGACGAATATGATGTATAAACTAATTATGACTACGCAAAAAAGCAAAGCAAACAATTAGCATGATCCCAATCAATGACTTTCCTTTTGATGTTGCATGGCTATAGTATTTGCTGCCATAGCTCTTTGGATAAATTGCAGCCTAGAACATGAAGTCATGAACTACACTGGGATGTGGTAATCTAAAAGGTAAATCCTTGATCACTATTATCCTCAAGTTAGTAAGGAATGCCTTTTACATTGTATGGAGAGAAATAAACAACAGATTGTTAGCCATTCTATGGAGGAACCACCACAACAGCGCGATCAGAATTCAGCTGTCTTAGAAAAGTTGTGGCTGACTCTGTAAATTTAGCTTTGCCTAAAGCCTTGTAGCTAAGCTTTGACATTTTTTAATCTTAGTATTGTTGTTTTCATGTAGCAGCGTTGCTGCTTCTATTGGATAAGAAATTTCAACGGTCAGCTCCAATCATGAATGGCAAAGGTGTTTTAAAAGGGAAAAGCAAAAAGATGAGATGAATTTAGTTTGCAAGGCTACTAGTATTGGCAATTCTATTGTCATCTATTCTATCATTTTCTTTTCTAAGTTTCACAAAAGCACTTAAGAACTATGGGTAAAAGCAACTTAACAAGATCTGCTGAAAGAAGAGACTTTTTCTCAACAAACAATTGTAGTCAACTAAACCAAAGGCAGACGACGAAAGTTTATCAGAAGAAGCAAGATAAGATAAAATGTAATAACTCAAACTAGATGAGAAATTATGAAGATGCATATAAGCAAGAACAGCCCCTCATAATGCAATTCTGATAAACTCAAACAAGGATTTTACTTCTCTAATGCCATTTATTATCTATATGTAAAAGGAGCAAAGTTCAACCTAGGATGTTAGAGGACATGCAAATAAATCAAAGATTAAGTTCATAAGGTAATTGGTACCCAAGGCTTCTATGAGCATCTTAGGCTTCAAACTTTTCAACTTCTCAACCGTTTTTGCAAAATGCCCACTTCCTTGATCAGGCAAATCACCCCGATCAACGCTTGTGATCACCATGTAACCCAAACCCCACGACGCAATTGCCTCCGCAACATTCCTCGGTTCATCGGGATCTGGGGGAGGCGGCGTCCGCGAAGTCTTGACGTTGCAAAACCTGGAAAACCGCAAACAGTAAAATTTGAAATTTAAGTGTTTGCTACATATGAATATCGTTTTTCCCCCTTACTTGCAACCGCGAGAACAAGTATCACCCAATATCATAATAGTGGCAGTGGCGGTCCCATTATCGCCACCGGACCAGCACTCGCCGAGATTGGGGCATCTAGCTTCTTCGCAGACAGTGTGAAGCTTTAGTTTCCTTAATTTGGTTTTAATCTGGAGGTGTTTTTCGCCGCCGGGAATGGATTGCTTCATCCATTTGGGCTTGAGTAGCGGTTTTTTCTTGGTTCCGACTTCGACGGTATAGAGGTTATTGCTTTGGAGACAGTATCGCCACCAAACTTCCACTTTCTTTTTCCCATCTCCACCGTCAGAGCCTTCTTCTCCCCAATAGCCCTCCTTCTCCACTTCCACATCTGGATCTGAGAGAAACAAAAAGAAATGTTCAGATGTGTGAAAACTAACAAAATTTTAAATTGGGTTCGTTGGGTAACCTTCATTTTATTTTTGAATAAAAAGGGATGAAACAAGAACAAGAATATTAACCCTCTTTCTCTATTAGCTTTATTAATTGGATACAATACTAAAACCCTCGAAAGAAGAAGGAAAAAATCATAATCGGATGTATTTATAAGGATACTTGTATGAAGTTTCAGGATAATTTCTCTTATTCTTCTGAGTAGCGGTTGAAGCACTTGATAGTGGATGTGGCAGTGGATGATTGTTGTACTTGTTTTCATCTGGTTTTGATTATCTTACCTAGTTCCAAAGAACGACGTCGATGATGAGGCGACGACCATCTTTAAAGATTATAAATATTGTGGATGAGTCTAGCTCCTATTTCTTATTCTCCCTTCAACACCAGTAGAACCATAATTCAGAGACCACACAAAATCAATGCACATTAAAAGATTTCAGATTTTCCTCATATGCTTTACCAAAACAAAACCCACAATCAAAAGAAAAAGAAAAATGAGAAACAAAAATAGAGATAAAAACTCAAAAAAATATCAAGAACAAATGATATAAGCAGAGCGTGAAACAATCAAAAGTTCAACAAATATGTTGTTGTTATCGTCAATGAAGGTGGTGGAGGTGGAGGTGATGACAAGGTCTATGAAGTTACTAACATGAATACGATGATGGGAGTTTTTAGTAGCTTCGATGGGTCATAGTTAATTTAGAGGAATGTTGGGTTGGGGAAATGGAGTCAGCGGTAGAGAGAGAGAGGGGGAAGGGGGAGTTCTGGCAAGTTATTTATTTTTTAATTAATTTTCATTTATTTAGAAAAATAAGTAATATTTTTTTATTTTTTTTATAGAGTTAACAATTTAAGATAAATAAGATAACGTTTGCAATTTTAGGGGATAAAATATTCTAAAATATACATAAAGGGACAATTCGACATAAATAGTATACTTCATGGGACAATAATACATTTAAGCCTTTTATTTATAAAATTATATCTATAGTTAGATTTTAGATTTGTTTTAGTTATTTATTGTTAAAAAGTAAATAGAAATATATATATATATAGTGATAATGCAACATTATATGGCAACATTAAGGATGTAAATAAATAAAATATTCAGTGAAATGTTTATGAATAGTTTGTATAATATTTATTTATTAAGTTAAATAAATGAATATAAATAAAAATTTTATATTTGTTTAATAAATGATAAAATTCAAACATAAATATATTTTGTTCGTTTATAGTTAATTATAACCTTATTTATAAACTCATTTATCAACTCTTGCAATTATATATATATATACATGAACAAATATGATTAACTAGTGTACTTTTTATTTGTTTTTTTACATTTTATAGGAGAAACTTATTTAAGATGAAAGCAAAAGTTGTTCGACATTTGTTAATTTAGTCTTTATTAAATTTAGGATCATCTACGTGTTTAGTATTTAAATACTAATTTTCGATCTATTTTAATACATAAATTTTTATTTTTTAAAAAAACATACTTAATGTTTTATTTTATTTATTTTATTTTATTTTAGTACCATAGCATTAAAAATTTAATGCGTCTACATAAACTATCAATTTTAGTTTGTTTCTAAACTTTAGGCATAGTTTTGAAAAATTAAAAATTTAGATACCAAAACATACCAAAATTAATAATTTAGATACTAAATGTGTAATTTATTGTTAGATTTATATGATTGTGATTTAATTGTGACAAACCTTTTCATCTTAAAATAAATTTCTCGAGGTCTCAGTTAACTTCAATTGTAAATGAATTATAGTTATTCTCCGGTTTAGGGATCGATCACTAAAAAAATCAAGGATATAAACATTCAATATCAAATGGTTAAAAATTATATTTGAACTACTTTATACTTACGGCATATTAATAAAAAAATTAAAATAATTTCCTTTTTGGTTCGACTTTCTGTTTCTTTCTACACCATGGCTATCATCACAAGCAACTCAAAATGGAATCATAGTTGAGTCGTCTTACTTGCTGATTGAGAAATCAAAAGTTGACTTTCATAGTAGGTATTAAAATAAAAATAAAATCAATGAACGATTTTTTTTTGCTTAAATTCTTCTCTAAGTCCCTTTACTATGTGTAAAATTCTTGATTTGCTTCCTATATACTAATTTTGAATAACAATTTTGCTTGTTTTAATCACTGTATTTTTCAAGTTTTAAAATTTCAATCTTGATCAAAATTATAATAGCTAAATACGTTAAGTGAAATTTTGCTACTAGTCCTTATTTTATATGTAAGTTGTAGGTTTAATTTTTATTCTTCAATTTGATCATTTTTAGTCCACGTAATTTCATTATATTATCCGTGTGTCATTTACGCAAGGGTTGAAATTTGAAAATATGAAAAGTATGGAGTTAAAATTGACCAAATTAAAGTTTATGAATTTAATTCATTGCTTATATATAGTACAAGGACTGGTGACAAAGTTTAACCTTTATTTTGATTTTTTTTTTGAAGCTGAAACAACTAAAAACAACGCGGAATTAGGCCTGAACTAAAAGATTAGTGAAGCCCATTAAAATTCATACCCAAGTTGGCATTGCGGCTTTACGTAATCCTCTTGCTTTCGTTTCACTTCCTTTTCTCCTCCAATTTTCTTGTTTTAACCATCTTTATCGCCAAACATTAGCGTCTCAAATTCAGATCTGCATCTCATTGTGTTAGTGTTAGTAGTTCCATTCTTGAGATTCGATGAGTCACTTCGATTCCAACCCTTTCGCGGAGGAAGAGGTCAATCCTTTCTCGGTAAGTTTCTTTTTTCACGTATTCGTATTCCACTTTTTTCATAACATGTCAGTGCCTCTGATTGTAGATTTGCACATTGTTCTGTTTTCTTCCTGTGAGATTTGATCTGTAGGTTTTGTTGACTTGGATGACTGATTAGCTAACTTGCTAGATCTGTTTCATTTCTGCTTGCCGATTCGATTTTTTTTATGTTAACTTAATTCATTTTAAGTAAGGTTTATTGGTTTTCATAATGTATCTCCAGTAACCGTAGTCATGTATTCTTTTCCCTCTTCATTTTTGTGAATGTAAAACTACGAAGTAAAAGACAAACATGTGATGATGTGCATTCATTTTACTTGTTTTTCGTAAGCTTGAACAGTTTTCAGTGGTAATATTAGTGATTTAACTTGTGCATGATGAGTTTTTTTCGAAGCTCTCAATTATTGTTTTTGCTTAGAATGCCTTTTATACTACTGTAAGGACTATTTTTTGTACAATTGGGTGGTTACCTCTGCCTGCATAATGTTTGATAGTAGAATTGCAGCCGTTGGAAATAGGAAAAAGTGGCCGTAGGCACAGAATGGATGACACACTGACTTCTTCTGTATGTGTCTAGTAATGCATAGGTTGATTGTAATGACTAGCTAAAGTTGATCATCCATGTTCACAATTCACATGTTAATCATGCTTTGACTTTATTAATTAAGGGTAGTGGGACTAGATTATAGTTTTATGATGGTTGCAATGTTGAGTTTGTGGTTATCATTATGGAAAAGATGCTAACAATGTTTGAATTCATAACCCTTCCCGGCAACTGCATTTTATGGTGTTGGGTTCCAATAATTCTTTTCTTTCCCTACTCTTAAGATGCTTGTTTTCCTATAACGAAATTAGATAGATCCAAAAATAGGTTCTACAAGAAAGACCACTTTATGCAGGCCAAGAATGAAAGCAAAACTCGAGGTGTGTAATGGAGGGATGAACATGCTTTCCCTCCAAGACAGAATATATGGCTTGAAGGTCATGTATATGATGATATTTGGGAATATGGCCTGTTGAAAATTGGTTGTAGGTGCGGTTTTGTGCATCATTATTTATCCAATATTTGTATAGGACTCATTTCCCCATTAGCTTACCTTGCTTTTAACCTTTTTTATTTTGAAAGAGTGCTCGTTGACTATGCGACTGGTTTACTTTCTTGTCTTATATATGTTGTTACATGTGTTGTGCTTCTGTATGCATAAATTAATGATCCTGTGCAAATGCTTAAAGTCTTCCTTGTAAAATACACAATTTTTAGAACCCCGATAGTGTTCCTCCTGCAACATCAAGGCTTTCACCCCTCCCTCCTGAACCATATGACCGTGGTGCAACCGTAGATATTCCTCTTGATTCGGCCAAGGTATCCTAAAAGTTTCCTTATATTGAATGGATGGCTGTCTTGTTTGTGGATATCATGTTTAAGCAAAAGACTTCTTTTAACATTTTTGTCTGATTGAATCTAGGATTTAAAAGCGAGAGAGAAGGAACTTAAAGCAAAAGAGGCTGAATTGAATAAGCGGGAACAGGTAATTTGTTGCCATCTGTTTGCACTTGGGTGAGGCTTGCTGATGAATAATTAATCTGGTGCTTCCATTTTTTTTTTTTGGTATTTGGTATCATTTGTGATAACTGATAAGTTATCCCTTTTGCACTGATGTTCCAAATATACACTTCTCTGATGTAATTTAATTATTGCTATCTGGGCACAAACAATAAAAACTGTAGTTTTGAGTCTCGGTTTCTGATTCATATTTCAGCTTAATTGTTTTATCTGTTTAAAGTCTAAATGCTTGTGAAATATCTGTATTCGGAAGTCTTTCCTTTTTTGTTAAGAAAATTCTTAATCATGCAATGACTTAATCCTTGAATGTTCAGATGCAATATGTAACTGTATTATCGGTAAGGTGGTTTTGAAGTTTACTTGCTTTTAGAATAAATTGTGCTCATAGTTACTGAGTGCTATCTTTACGTTTTGAAGGAATTGAGAAGGAAGGAGGATGCAATAGCACGAGGTAAGTTCTTTTTTTCCCCCATTTATCTTGATGACTTGACGAGCTTCTGCATTACAAGGTAAGCTTGATTTTGACATATGTTCTTGTCTTCTTCTTTGTAGCTGGAATTGTAATAGAGGAGAAAAATTGGCCACCATTTTTTCCTATCATCCATCATGATATTGCAAATGAAATACCAATCCACCTACAAAAGATGCAGTATGTTGCTTTCACAACATTTTTAGGTGAGTTCAAGTACAGGTTTTTCTATTTATTTCTTACATCACAATATTGCTCATTTGCTCCCATTAATTATCCATAATTATATCGCAAATGAAATACCAATCCACCTAAAAGAGATGCAGTATGTTTCTCCTGTTGTCCATCGTTATATTTCTTTCTTTTCATACATATAAGCCTTTCGTGAGTCTTGCTTGCTTGCAGTTTCAAAAGGTAAATTGTATTGGTTGTAATGTTCATTTCCTGTTCATGTCTTGAAAAATGTTTATGTTGCCAATTTCTTATTGTGGCCAATGCTGACTTCAGTCTAATGTTTCTTGACATGGAAGGTTTGGTTCTTTGTCTTGTTTGGAATATAGTAGCTGTTACTACAGCCTGGGTCAAAGGAGAAGGTGGGTTTTGGAAGTTAGTATTGCCCTATCATTAAGTGGTTAATTTCTATTTTGTCATCTTTATCATAGTGAGAGCTTATATCTTATTTCAGGTCCAACAATTTGGTTTCTTGCCATTATATATTTCATATCTGGGGTCCCTGGTGCCTATGTATTGTGGTATCGTCCTCTCTATCGTGCTATGAGGTATACTTTTGGGTTATTCCTTATTTGATTTACTTGTACCTAAAAGCTGTATCTGTTCAATTATTGCTTATGAAATTATAGAACTTCGTGTGGTTATTCTACTGTCTCGAGTTCAATGATAATAAATGTAAGCTTTTTATTGTAATCCTTAATCTCATATCGTGTCTATGTTCCTTTCATTACAGGACTGATAGTGCGTTGAGTTTTGGACGGTTTTTTTTGTTTTACATGGTATGCTTCTTGCTTTCTCGCTGTAATTGTTACATATTCATGGGAGACATGCTATAAAGTTCGTCATTTATGACTTGTTTTCTTCCTTGCAGTTGCATATTGGCTTTTGCATCTTTGCTTCAGTTGCTCCCCCGATTATTTTCAAGGGAAAATCCCTTGCGTAAGTTCGTTATAACTTTTTCCTCCCTAGAGGATTTTGAATGTTACGGTTTCTTTTTTCTTTAATTTTTTTTATAGAGAAGATAACTTTTAGAGTGTAGTTGGTATTTGGTAACCTGTAGCTGATGATGTCTTCATGGTGCAGAGGTATTTTGCCTGCAATTGATCTCATTGGCGGTTCACATGCTTTTGTGGGGGTAAATTCCAAACTATTAGGATGCTTTGCCCTCAATTGTTGTTTTTGGTTTCACTATTCATCCGTCTCTGAGAAGGCTTGACATTGTCTGCGTCATTTTGACCTGCAGATATTCTACTTTATTGGTTTCGGATGTTTTTGCATCGAATCATTGCTCAGTGTCTGGGTTATTCAGGTAACAAATCCCTAGTCTTTCATGACTTGTCAGTGAAACTGCTCTGCTCTGGTTTCTTCTAAAACCTCTAGTGTTCTCTCTTGAATTTGCAGCAAGTTTACATGTATTTCCGCGGTAGTGGTAAAGCTGATGAGATGAAGCGTGAGGCTGCAAGAAGAACAGTGGCAGCGGCACTTTGATAGTGATACGGAGGCCGTCGCAGAAAGATGGTATTTGCTGCTGGTGGGCTTGGATCATGTTGGATGAGTTACAATGTACTTGAATTGCTTCTTCCCATGCAATTTTCTGGCTGGCTTGTCTAATCATTTTAGTGATATGTTGTTTAAATATATATACATCATATACATTGCTGAATGACGAAGTTGAGATAACAGACTAAAGTTGGATAGTAAGGTTTAGCAGGCCAACTTTTAGCAGTTGTGTTGCCCATATTCCGGTGCTTTTCCACATAATAGAAGGATTCTTGTGCTTAATCTCTTATCTCAGCTTCCCAATTGATCACTGAAGAACAAACTTGGAGCTAATATAATTCAATCCCGGGAATGATTCTTCTTAGCTTGGAGTGTCTTTCAATCCATTGTTAGTTTCAGGGGTTACAGTGACATTGGAATTTATATTCTTGATGGCTCAAAAGTTTACTGACTGCCCCCAATTAACCACGTAAAATAACATAAGAAGGGTGAGGCAATCTGGTTGCAGATTGAACAACAATGGAAGGGGTATTGTGGTAAAAAGAAAATGTAAACATTGAAACATTAAAACAATGCTTAGTCTCTATTCCAGAAGTAGCACCTGGAAACAATTCTCCTGCTTCTTCGGGTAAACTGAGTAGTTGAATGGTTCTTTTTACATGACGAGCAACAACAAACTTCACTTCCATCCCTTTTATTTAAGACAACTTAACTCACTTCACCAAAACAAGAGATCCATCAGCATGGCAATGGGATTAATATCTCAAAAAGGAAATGGAAACGGGCAGAGGGCAAGACCCTGCGGGTTGCTGCTGCTTTTGACATTTGGGGCCGCCATGCTTACTATTATGGTGCTCCACAAACTCCGGGAGAGACGCATCTTCAACCTTCTTCTCCAAGAGAATGGTCGTCACCTTGTTTCACTTCAGCTGTTGTTGCAGGTTGCTTCTCTGCACCAAGCATGTCATGCTCTGGGCTTTTTTTATTCAATCATAAACTACAAATGATATTTTGAGAACTATCAGGGCTGTACATGTTAACAATGTTTTACTGTTTTTTTATCACAGAAACAAACCGAATACACCAAAGAACTGAAGAAGAAAGCTGAAGAGACTAAAGCATAGATGAGGTCTCTTAGAAAGCAGAAAATGGAGGTGGATCATAGGCTCTTGGAATTGCAATCTACAATTGATTCCCTTAAAGATGAACAAAAGACCATGGAGACTGAACTGGAGGATAAACTAAACGAGATCAAACTGCTATGACTCAAAGAAATGGAGTCGTCAGGAAACGGAAATACTCAAGTGACAACTTTAATAGCAACTTTTAAGCAAAAAGAGACTGAAATCCAGGACTTGAACCAGCGTCTTTACTCTTCAGTTCGAGTTTGGTCATCTAATCATCCGATAAATTTAACAATTACAGAGCAAAAGACGGAGTTGAGACACGAGGGTGGTGGGGTGCATGAATCTTCTGCGTATGAAGGTGGTGATAATTCAACATAAGGTCTGGAAGGAAATGAGAATAGATCAGGTTATCCTCAGGAGGAAGACAACAGAGAGTGCTGATAATGTAGATGACAAAAACGGAATGTACACCAAAGGAGGGCAACTTCATAATCTGAAAAATGGAGAAAAGAATCGTGCAAGAGCTACAGCAACATTTGATTAGATTTATGAAAGCGAAAACAAAAAGTAACTTTTCTAGGCAGCCTGGAAAACTTAAAAGCTCCCACCAAGAAGGTGAGGTTCAAAAATTCCAATCGACTCATCAAGTTGGAAACAGACTGGAAACAGATGAGAGTCGTAGTAAGATTTCAAGCTTTTCACAGGCAGAGAGATTTGGCAATTTAAGCACAACAGAGGGTCAAAGTTGGAGAATAACTGCTAGGAAGAGATCCCTAATTATTAATGTAAATTCTGAAACAGGAGTTGAAAGCAAAAGTAGAAGATTTTCAAAAGAATATATATATATATAGATGCTGTAAGAAACATGAATGAAGAGGGGAAACCCGAAAAACAGATGGATCTGGCAAAGCTAATTTGTTGAAGCGTCGTTGAGGACAAAAACACAATGTCAAACAACCAACATAACTACGCGGCAAGACGAGTATCAGAAAACTGTGGTGTCATTGGAGAAAGCAGTGGTGTCATTGGAGAAAGCAGTCAGTACACACATGATGCCAAGCAGCAGAAAATTGAAGAAACAACCAACAACGGCAGGGACATGAAGCAACAGAAGAAGAAAGCTGTCATAGAAAAACTGGCAGCATCCAACGGTGACCTTTCCAGTGAATTTATGACAGATTCGTAGATAGACATACAGATGAGGCTGAGAATGAGTTTTAGTTAACACAACTTCCCAAATGTCATGTCCTATCTTTCAGATACCTGCATTGCTCTTAGATCAGTAATTAGTTGTCCTTTCTTTAAGCAGCGAAGGACGTCAAGACTTTGGAAAAAGCTAAATGGCCAAATATGTGGTTTTATGTTTTGGATAGGATATCCAAATAAAGTAGCATTGCCATGACATGGTTCAAATGTGCATTGTAGGTTTACTTTTAAGATATATGCCTAAAGTAATTTTCAATTGTCCGAATACAGAAAAGGAAACACTAGTTGGTAGACAGACTCTACCATGACCAACTAAAACTTACTCTCCCTGAGAATTGAGAATATTGTTCGTGTACATCTCCAGTTTCCAGGCTTGGGACTAGAATGAAAAAATCTTTTGCTATGGACTTCGGCCATCTTTACCGTATCCAGATTACTTCAAGACCTTTTGTTTATAATATCAAACCTATTATATCAAATAACATTAAACGCAATTATTGATTTCTATATGCAATAGGGATTGAGTAAAATCAAGCCAACATGCACAAAAGCATAATTCATTAACTTTTCCAAGTCTTCAAAAGGTTTTGCCGTTTTGGTTCTTAAAAACCGTTACATCCCATTACCAACAGGACAAGCCAATGAAACAGGCTGTATGTTCTCTGATAAGAAGCTGACCTCCGAATTTACTCAGTAATCACTCTCTGAGGGAAAAGGAAAACGCAACGAAAAGATGATACTCAACGACATGAAAATTCCAGCCTCATGATTATTGTTAAAAAGTAAAGGCTTCAACCTCATTAATGTGCCGCTTCCACCACGTTCTGCCACAAAAACAAAAGTGAAAATGAAGGAAGAAGTCATATTAGATGCACAACAATAATGTAAATCTGAAAGCATGCTTAGGCATTCTATCATGCTTTTAGAAACTGCTAAGCATCACATTATCAATTTTTTGTTATTTGCTAAATAAAACGGGGACCCAGTGGAGATCATCAACAACTGATGGGGTACATTGACTGAACTTCATCTCCAAAACAAAACACAGTATGGCTTTTCCACAATAAAGTATAAATTATCCTGCTAGCTCCAAATCATGGATCTGGATTTTTATTACAGGTAATACTATTGAAGGCTAAGGTGGTTACTTTACCTGAGAATTTGCATGACTGAATGACATTAAAAGACTTACAGATGTAAAACTTGGCATTAAATATATGTTAGAAATTCGGTCATTGAAAGCCTTGATTTAGTCATAATCCGTGAGATATTCTAGAAACTGTTTTCTATGTAAATATAGAAAGAAAAAGCTGTAAATCAAGACAAAGTAGAAAAATAGAAGTTGTCAAATATTGGCTCTAATTAGTTTCCTTTTTTTTGTTGTAATTTCCCTCTGTATAAAAGGAAGCCTTGTACTCATTCAAGAAATAAGACACATTATTTTTTCATTTTTTTCTAAGTTGGTATCGGAACTATACTCGTGTCTTAACCCTAAAACACAACAGCTCCAAAATCACCGTAGCCATGTCCGAAGTCGCGTCGAAAATCACTTCAACACCTGCTGCGAGTGAAGCCGACTCAGGTCCCTTCAACAAAGAGCATATTGATCAACTATTGAAGCTGATAAAATCCAATTCCTCATCCGGTATTCCTAGTGTTTCTATGGCACAAACAGGTAGTAATCCTAAAGCTCTTTCTTGTCCAAATTCCTCTCTGTGGATAATAGATTCCGGAGCCTCAAATCACATGATTAGTTTTTCTCATTTATTTAATACCTATTCACCTTACCCTGGAAATGAAAAAATTAAAATTGCCGATGATAGTTTTTCACTTATTGCAGGAAAATGACTCATTAAACTGACAGAAAAAGTTAATCTCAATAATGTTCTTCATGTCCCTAAATTAGCCTGCAATCTTTTGTCTGTCAGTAAACTATCTAGAGATTCTAATTGTTGCATTACCTTCTTTGAATCACATTGTGAATTTTAGGATCGGAACTCGGGGATGATGATTAGACGTGCTAGGATGATTGAAGGTCTTTATTACTTTAATGAAATATCTATCAGTAATAAAAAAGTTCAGAGCTTTAGTAGTACTAGTTCAATTTCTGTTTGAGAAAAAATAATGTTGTGGCACTATAGACTAGGACATCCTAGTTTTCTTTATTTGAAACACTTATTTCCAGAATTATTTAAAGGGATTGATTGTTCTTCTTTTCATTGTGGAAATTGTATTTTTTCAAAAAATCGTCGTTCCCCCTATTTACCAAAAGATTACCAGGCCTCCAAACCTTTTTATCTAATTCATAGTGATGTTTGGGGCCCTTCTAAAGTTATTACTATTTCTGGTAAAAGGTGGTTTGTTACTTTTATTGATGACCACACAAGTTTATGTTGGATTTATCTAATGAATAAAAAGTCTGACGTGAAAGATTTATTTAAAAAAATTTACACTCTGATTGAAAACCAATTTCAAACCAAGATTAGTATTTTACATTCTGACAATGGAACAAAATATTTTAATGAGCACTTAAGTGATTTTTTGAAAGAGAAAGGGATTTTTCATCACTCTACATGTCGGGATACCCCTCAACAAAATTGCATTACAGAACGAAAAAATAAACATTTACTTGAAGCAGCACGTGCCATAATGTTTTACATGCATATTCCCAAATACTTATGGGTGAAGCAGTTTTAACAGCCGCTTACTTGATAAATAGGATGCCTACTAAGGTGTTAACATACAAAACACCACTTGATTGCCTAAAATCATTTTTTCCTGGAACAAGGTTGTTTTCTGATTTACCTGTCAAAGTTTTTGGATGTACTGTCTACGTTCATGTTCCATGCCAATTTCATCCAAAACTTGACCCACGTGCTATTAGATGCGTTTTTTTGGGTACTCTTC